TTATTATTATTATTATTATTATTATTATTATTATTATTATTATTATTTGTCACTATGTAGGGGCTACTTATGTAGTTTCTTCTAAAGCAGAAATCACACAAAGTTCTCAAAATAAACCACTAGATGTCAACATCAGATTAGAAATTATTCAATTTTTCAGTTTGTAACTTCACTTTCTTGGACTTGGCTCTGGAGAAGAAGAATATTTGCTAGAGAGCTTCCATGAATGTAGTTTGCTCACCACTATAAGTACTTCATTTAACATTAGGTTGCTCAAATGCACAGTTGGATCACAGGAAACAATAGAAATAGACCAAAGGATGTCTATCATTTAATTATAAACATTAGGTTGCTCGAATGCACAGTTGGGTCACAGGAAACAATAGAAATAGACCAAAGGATGTCTGTCTGGACAATGTGCACAGGACATATCCTACAATCCCTCAAATGGTCCTATAGCAGATGTGCTAGAATTATTTAGCAGGCAGAATAACAGGGAATAATAAAAGAATAAAAGCAGAATAACAGGAAGATTAACAATGTTTTCCCCAAAGGGGTCTTGTGCAAATGGGTCAAATGTGTGAAATGGTGGTGCCAGTGAATAGGATAAGCAATAATTATAATAGAAGAAGAGTGTGAATGATCTTCTAACACTTCTGCAAATACAGTTTCTGAAAAGTGGGGCTTTGCTTCAAGTACTTCTCTTTTTAAAAAGGAACAGATCCTCCCCCATCCTGCTTTAAACCAAATAGAGAATATCCTTCTAGCTCAGAGGTGGAGAATTATGGCTTTTTATGACTTGTGGACTTCAACTCCCAGAATTCCTGAGCCAGCATGGACATAGTTTTCCCATCCCTGTTCCAGCATATAGAAAAGAGGCCAAGTCTGTATGAAAAAGGGCAACCTTTGGAGGGAAAGCGTTTGGAATTCAAACCCCAACATCTTTGGGGATGGCAGAATTTCCATGAAGGGGAATGCTGAATGCTGAAAGCTACTGACATCCTGGAAGAAGACAAGACAATGGCCTAATTCAGAATATTCCTAAACAGGAACGTGTCCACATTAGTCCCAAGAGACCAAAGGAAGCCAAGGAACAGGTCATTCTCCAGTCAATTCTACCAATTTGAGAGTTCTGGGTGGTGAGTTCTTTCACAAATAGCTAATAAATAACACTAGTGATACGGTAATAATATTATTTACATTGAGGCCATAGCGAGGGATACTGAAGTACTCCAGCCACAATAACGAAGGTGTAATGGTTGTGAGATTTACCAATATACCAGAAAAAACCTGCAGGGAAAAAAAAAGTGTTTTATGGCATAGAATTTTGTCCAGAGCTCCACAAAAGAATTTCAATTTATATACAGGATTCATTCCTTCGTGGTTAGCGGTGTTGCTAATTTAACAACTGCAGTGATTCACTTCGCCAATGTGGCAAGAAAAGTCGTAAAATGGGGCAAACCCTCACTTAATAACTTTTCTCACTTGGCAACATAAATTTTGGGCTTAGTTGTGGTTGTAAGTTGAGGACTACCTGTATTTATATAAAACTTCACATTCGTGTCAACGTCTCCGATTTCATTTGGACATGATCTGCTCCGCAATTCCCTGACATACTTTCCTATACACGTCTCTTCCTTGCAGTAAACAGAATGTAGATATACTACTAAGTTAAGACTGCAGTCTGTTTGAAATGTGCCCAATTGGTAAGGCTTGTAGAAAAAAATAATAATGGAAAGCTTCAAAGAGTATGATGGGTTTCATAGGTTCATGGAGATGGAGACAGAAGAAAAGAGCGAGATTGGAATGCATGTTGTGATTTCACATATCAGGCTGTAAATTCTAATGGAGACTAAATGTGAGACAAAATGCCTCGGAACTGCCATTCCCCTAATTTCCCTTCATCGTAGCCAGGGTGCCAGATGAGTGCCAATCTAGTCCCACAGGTATACAATACATGATAATACATTGTGTGGTACCTAAATAGTATATTTTAGACATGGTACAATCTCTTTTACTTAAAAAAAAAAAAAAAAAGAGTCTCTGAGGATTTTATTCCACTAGTCACTTTATTCCACTAGTCATGGTGGTGCTCCTCTCCATTTCAAGGCCATTGAGCCAGCACTGTCCGAAGTCCTTTTGCGGTTGTGTGGCCCTCATGATGTCACAGAGCGCTGTTACCTTCTCAGTGAAGTGGTACCTATTTATCTACTCGCATTTGCATGCTTTCGAACTGCTAGGTTGGCAGGAGTTGGAGTGAGGATGGGAGCTCACCCTATCGCATGGAACTGGAGTGTTGAACCTGGGCTGCTGGCTTTCCAGCCAACAAACCCAGCATCTTAACCTCTGTGCCACCATGCCACCTGTCTTTTATCAAATAGCAATAATCTCCTATGATCTCCTGATAGCCTAATAAGGGAGAAGAGAAAGTATGGAATGGCTCACCGTGGGTCAACACTGCTTTTTCTCTTGCACTCCACAGTCCACATTTTTAGATGACTGATTTAGCTGGGATCACATCTGGGGCCAGTGAAGCAACTAATCTATTCCTAGGCTCTGAACGCAGTGATATTTTTCAGGTACCCTCTTTAAACGGGAATATTTTGAAATACTTTGAAATGTAGCAAGCCAGGCTTACGGTCTTCAGGAACCTCCTGGAATGAAGGGGCCAAGGATGACATCATTCCACAAATTTGTCCTTTGGCAGTGATGTCATGACACACAACATATCTAGTGAACCTGCTGGGCTTATTGTGGACATTGCTAGCTCTGTCCTGATGAAAGGATTGCAAGGGATCCTTTTCTAAATTCCTTTCCTGACTACACCACTGATTGACCCAGCACTGGTACCCACCGCCATTACAAATCAAGCACACATTGGAATGCATTGTTCCTATTCTGATTCTGATTCTGCACATAATGGAGTTTGCCAGCATTTAGGCCAATGAGCGGAATATCAAAACCTAGCTTTTTAAAGATAGGCAAGTTACATATAACAAGTAAATATTAAAAGGCAACACTTACAATCATAAAAACAAAGCAAATATTAATGAGGAGGTTTGCAACTGATGTGATGTTTTGTCCTGTTGCAACTGCCAGAGCGAGAGAACTAGAGGCATATGCAATTAATATAATAGTAAGCATCATGATAAAGAAGGATGCCAAAACTGGCTTGAAACCTGCAAGGAATTAATATATATACATTTACATATGTATACAAATCTACATACATACTTAATATAAACTTTAACAGAGATGTATACAGGTGGTCCTCAACTTACAACTGTTGATTTAGTGGCCATTCAAAGTTATAACGGCATTGAAAAAACTGGTTTCTGACCATTTTTCACACTTCATGACCGTTGGAGCATTTCACAGTCATGTGATCAAAAAGGTGGTGCTTTGAGTGCTTGGCAACTAGCACGTATTTATGACCATTGCAATGTCCTGCTTTTGCAACCTTTTGTGGTGTGGAAGCCAGATTCACTTACCAACCAAGCTGCTAACATAACAACTGCAGTGGCTCACTTAACAATGAGAAAGGTTGCAAGATGGGACAAAATTCACTTAATTGTCTTAACAGAAATTTTGGTCTCATTTATGGCCGTTAAGTCGAGGACCACCTGTACTTCAGCCATGCAACCAACCTTCTGCATGTCCACTCAGAAGGAAGCACCCCTAAATGTGATTGGTGCTTACTGCCATGCCATATATCAGAATTTGCTTTTATTTGCTAGGGTTCTGCTGCTTGTATTTTGTGTTGACAAGTCAGTTGAAAATAATTGTATTAAGGCTTCCATATCTGCATTTCAAAACATTCAGACAATCCTAAAAGGGCAGTAAGAGTTAGAATTTTCTATATCCTTTTTATACTCCGTAGTGGGTAGCCCAAGTTTATGCCCCATAAGTCTTAAAAGCTTAGCAATTCCTGTAAGACTCATTTATCACAATCAAGCACTTTGCAAGTGGAACATCTATCCAATTTCTTTTCTGCACTGCGAGGCCCTTGCAGGAGCGTTTCTACCCAGCCATGTCTTTCCTTCCAGGATGACATGAGCTACAAGGCAGTGTTCCTTAACCTTTTGGGCACCAATGACCAGTTCCATGGAAGACGATTTTTCCATGGACCAGGATGGGCGATGGCTTCGTGTGCTACCTAGATCCCATGCTTTTGCAGATGGAGCTTTCCTCACCTGCATGGCCCCGTTCCTAATAGTCTGTGGACCAGTAGCAGTTGTACCCTGGGGGTTAAGGACTCCCGCTGTAAGTGGACAGAAGTAAACTATTTGATGTTGCATTTTTCCCCCTGTCATTCCCAAAATGACTGAACTTTCTTAGCAATCATAAAAAGTTGGTTTTGGTATTTTGGAGGAGGGAGGGGATTACTGTCTTTTTAAACTTTTCGTATTGCTTGACCCAATGCTTGAGCATTCTTCAAAGTTTATTGACAACCAAATTCACTGTTTGAGAGGAAGATAAAATGCCAACTGATATCCTGGTGTTTTTTTCCATTTATTCTTATATTTCTATCCCACCATTTTTATAATATTGCCTAAGGTGGCAATGATACTGTACCTTGTATTCCTGCCTTCCGTTTTTCCCACACCAACAACTCTGGTCTCCTGATTTTTAGGCCAGCACCCCCATTACACAAAAGAGGCTCTCAGTGCCATGCTCTAAACCAGGGGTGTCCAACCTTGACAACTTTAAGCCTGGAGGACTTCAACTCCCAGAATTCCCCAGCCATTTGGCTGGGGAATTCTGGGAGTTGAAATCCTCCAGGCTTAAAGTTGCCAAGGTTGGAGATCCCTGCTCTAAACCAATTTCAGCCTCCTTATACTTCTCCTGAGAGAATAAATCACCCAATTGGTCAGTTGCTTGCATACAAGAGTGATTATAACTAAAGAGAGCCAACTTGGGGCAATGTTTAAGGCACCAGGGTAGAAACCAGGAGACTGTGAGTACTAGTCCAGCCTTAGTCATGAAAGACAACCTGGGTGATTTGGGATTAGTTCCCCTCTATGGAGGAGGAAGGAATATTAGGTACATTTGCTGTATTGAGGTATTTAAAAAGTAACAAAGGCAGAATTTTAAAAATATAATAAATAAAACAGAAAGCAAACAGTATGTCTCATTTCTCTGTACCACAAAAAAAGGGTGCAGGACTGAGTTCACTTGCCTATTGTGAAATAATTCAAGCTGGTGAGGATGATGCCTGGCAAAGTCCTCATGGGCATCATGTCAGCTATTAGTTTTGAGAAGAAATATGCGGACACTCTATAATAGCCACTTATATATTCATGTCTGCAAGAAAAAAGACACTTGTACACATATATGCACACACAAAACCTGAATGATCAAATAAATGCATATAGCAGGTTTTAGACTGGGGCCTAGGCCCATGTAGGAATTTAGTGAATTTTCTTCGGTTATCTTAAATGCTCAGTTAAATATGGAATAGTCTTTTTAAGCTTCATTTTGTATTCTCTGTTTACATCTATTCACCATCCTGGGTGGTGAGTAATACCATGGGGTTCTTTTGTGGTGCCCGGAGGCTGTTGGGGCCTGGATGAGGAACAACAAACTTCAAATGAACCTTGGCTGGATGGAGTAGCTATGGGTGGGCCCTTCTGCATCTAGGAGTTTAACATCTTTGGTCTTGGGTGGGGTTGCACTACCCTAGACAGACCCAGTGATTAATCTGGGGATCCTCTGGGACTCACGGCTCCTGCTCGAACAGCAGATGGCAACCTTGGCTAAGAAGGGCTTTGTTCAATTTCATGTTGTGTGCCAGTTATACCCTTTCCTGGATAGGGAGGATCTCTGTTTGGTTAATTATGCCCTCAACATCTCCCATTTGGTCTATTGCAATGAGCTATATACATGGAGTTACCATTGAAAAGTATCTGAAAACTTCAGCTTGTACAGAATGCGGCCATCTTGGGCACCCAAAGACGCAAGCTGCATTGGGTACCAGTTTGCATTTGAGTCCCAATCAAGGTATTGGATTATGACTTTTAAATTCCTACACAACCACCGTCCAAAGCAGAGGTGGAAAAAGTTCTTCACTCAGTGGGATTATTTTTTTAAATTTAGAACTCTGAATACTCATGCCACCACGCTTGTGATAGAGAGGGATGTTCAGTCTTTGGGATTCTTAAGGCAAGATTCCTCATTATTATTTTGGGCTGAAGGTAACAAGGTCAAAAGGACATTTGAAATACAATCTTTCAGTCCTCACGAATTGAGGGGTCTAAGGCAACTCGCTGCGGGACACCTCACCCTGACCAGCTCTCTTTGGGGAACAATTTACCATGAGACTGGGACTTCCACTCTGGTTTCCAAATCTGGCCTGGCTTAAGGGAGGCAAAAAGTCCCTGCCTTTCCCAAACCAGGAATCATTCTTCTGTGCAGACACACACACACACACACACACTGACAGACACGCCATTCTGGGCTTGGGGACTTTTATCTACATCCAAGCTGGCAAGCTGCCAATGGCTCCTCGGCATGGGAGAAGGACCTCTCCTTCAGTATGCTACTCTGGACCCAGATGGCTCCGGTGGGGTCAGGGACAGGAACTTTTGCCTCCTTTAAGCCAGACCTAAGCTCGTGGCGAGTTGTCCCACTGCAAGGTGGCTGCAGTTGGTTGTCTCATTCCACAAATAGAGATTTTACTCGCAAATCATTTTTACTGATGTCTTTGTATTTATTTATTTATTAAATTTATATGCCTTCTATCTCACCATCCAAAGAGACCCTTGCCCATTGACAATGAATTTATGAAAAATACTAAGCAAGAATTCAGGAAGAGGTTTGTTCAGCTTACTCTTCACATCTTCATTAAGACATAAAAACAATGCTTTTAAGCTCAATTTGTCCCTAAAACCTGACTTACTACAGGTGCCCAAATAAGATGAGAGCTTGCTGCCTTGAGAGAGTAGGAATAGCTTTTCCACGGGGGTGGGGTGGGGTGGGAGACACATGCATGGACACTGTGAATGAAACCAACAAACGATTAACTAAAGAATAAACAAATGATTAACTATAAGAAAAAACTTGATGTTCTATTACATGCAGATTTACCTACATAAATATCCTTTTTTCTGTGATAAAAAGTTCAACGGTTGTAATACTGTTCAAAACCTGATTCGTTGCCAAAAAGAACAATGCACCAACTCTACAAGAAAACCCAAGAATTTTCAAATTAGAAAAGGAGAACATATGGACTATAAATATGAAGCACTAATGACACAGAGCATGATAGGATCACAATGTAAGAAAATCAAGGGTGCCTCCAAATGAGGAGAATTTTACATGGGATAGATTATGTACAGTATATAAGTTGTAATTTACCCAATGACTACTAGATAGCAAAGAAATAGAGAAAGCTGAAGACTTTACTTCTGTCTAATGGTCATCTGGAACCCAAATATAGTGGCTGGTCATTGCATGATACAACACAGCCATCAGGATGTCCTGTTTTTCCTGCTGAAATGACAGATAGTGGGAACATAGAGATACTCTGTATATAGTGGCTTTTTTGCCAAACAAAAATAGATGCACTTTTAACTATACTGGAAACCAGAAGCATCAAGGGCTTGGTTGCACAGCTTAGGTGATTAAACCTTTTACAGGTATGCATTATAAACCCGTAAAAGAGCATAAAATATCAATAGAAGTGAATGTTTGTAGCTCAGGGGTCCTTGGTGAACTGATGACAATGGAAATTGCCTAATTTTCCAGAAAACAAAACAAAAACAAAACACAATACTTTAATCAAAGTAATATAAACTGGTGTGAAGTTATTCATCTAATTGCCTAGGAAATTATTCTTCCCTGCTCTACAGGTAAAGGAGCATGCAAATAAAACAATATTAGAGATTGCAATGCTAACATTATTTTTTTTAGTACAATTGTTCTACGCCCTGCTAATCTCAAAAGTTAAAACTATTGAGAAAGGTGCATTTGGTTTAGAAGAATGTTTCTTACATTAACTAACCTATTTTGAATGCCAGTTGCATCGTTTTTAACACCAGAAAAAACAGCTCCAGTAATTATTCCCATGACAGTGATAATAGCTATCTAGGAAGAAAGAGTATTTCAAATGATCAATGTTAAAAGGAAACAGGGATGAAATGTTTTGACAAATTAATGAGCTTATGAAAAAATATACCTGTTTTCTGTAGTTCTACAATTTAAATGATATGACAAATATCCCATTCCAATGACCAGGAAAGGGTAGGAAGAATAGGCATAGGAAAAACCTTGCTTTTACAACTGGGAGGGTGATCTAAGTTGCAAAAATCTAATCAACCACTAAATAGAAGCAAAGAGTTAAAGAAAACTCCCACTTTTTTCTACCCTAGATATGGTAGACTTGGCTGAGGAGACAGGCATCTTACACTATACTAACCAATGGTACATATCTCTTAGCCATAAGTCACTGGTTAAGTTACATTTGATTGGATTCCTATAACCCAGTATTCCACAATCAAAGCATATTTTGCATGTGTAAATCCAACCTTATCCAAGTTTTGAAAACATACTAAGTGGTGGGTTGGGTTCAGTTAAATTAGGTTGAGTTGAGTTGGATTGGTTTTGGCCTAATCAACAAATCATTTGATCTAGAATCTTTAGCTTCCATAATTTTAATCAGTATAGCCATTAGTTAAGAATTCCTGTCTGGGAACTCTATGGACTTCCAATGTCACTGTGCAGCAGCAGTTTAGGGTAAAGGGCATTAAAAATAAAGTGAACTGTGCTTGAATGTGTAACTCTAATGTCTGCTCAGAATTACCATTTGGTTAATGGGGACTACTCTTACATAAATATGCTTAGGATTGTGGCACCAATTATCATAATCAAATTGACAGATAGCTAAGATTTTTATTTTGAAGAATAAGCACACATAATTAAAATCTCAGCTAAGGTGATGGTAACAGGCTGCTCAGAAGTGTTGAACAGGAAGGATTGCCTCAATCAACATGACAGGAAGCTCTTAAATGTGGTTCTGGGGCTCAAGAGAGCTGCCGAAAGATCCAAATGCCAGCACTTATTTTACCATTAAACAATTGGAGTGGGAAACAAGGATCACAGCTAGACCCATTTAAGAGGATTAACAAAAGGGATTAATTCCATGAAATGTAAGGGCTTTTGGAAGAATGCCTTCAAAAATCCATCTATAATGAGGTTATGGAGATAGAAACGATTGTGAGAAAAAAGTCAGAGCTCTTAGCTGAGGGAAAAATTGTAAGCTCCTAAAATCATAATTCCTGTCACAAGGTCAAATTTTTACAAAGCAATTTATAAGATCCTCATAAGACTTGCATACACATAACAAAACTTTTTAACTTCATGGCCTCTTTGTGTAAAAAAAATTAATAATTACTATTATTACATTAGCTATGATGTATTAATGCTTGAAGGTGGTTTCATTATCCAGAAGATGACTAGAGAAGGAAGCCATGGTTTGATTTTATTTTTCAATTTAATTCCCAGACTTCTTCAGCATTTATAATTACTCTAGTGGGTTAATGAAATGTCTACAAGCAAACAACCAAGCCCAGGGAGTGTTTGTAAATAGGCCTAAAAATGCAGTAATTCTAGATCTAACACAGATTAGCTATTTCAAAAAACAAACAAACACTTAAATGACATATACAGTTTATTTCATAATATATCAAGGAGGAGGAGGACACTTTGTTTACCTGGGCTGTGGAATTTTGTGGATTGCCTATCAAATTTTTAAATGTGCGCCTGGACAGCCACTTGAGTTGATGAAGAAAAGGAGTGGAATATGGAAGTCCTTTAATCATTGTTCCCAGTCTTTTCTGCTCCTTAGACATTACATCCAGTTCTTCAAGCAATTTTTTGTAGAAATTGCATTTGGAAAACTGTACTGCTAATGTTACAGCAATGGTCTCCTGTTCTCTCTCAGTTACCTCAAGAACTGTTTGAGTGACAGTGAAAAGCCAAATTAGTGCATTCAAATAAAATGAGAGATACATACAGGTCAGTTGATCCATAGCTTATGTTCTAGGTCATATCTGTGCTTTGCAAACAGCAGCTTTTCCACTGGTGAGCAGCTGCTGAGCTACACCATGATTCCAGATCCATGTGATTTTGCAGTTTTTCATTGCTTTTCAACTAGCCCTGTTTGATTCTTAAAACAGCCTATTAGGGAAGGCAGCAAAAGACATGCCTTGTGTGTTTTCAGACACATTTTCTTCAGTATCCAAGTCAGTGTCTCCTCAGAGTGGAATTACAAATAAGTCTCTGTATGTGTGTCTCTCTGTACAGTACTGCATATCTGTGTGGGTATGTACATACATACATACATACATACATACATACATACATGTTCAAACTCTCTAGAAAGTTTTTTTATTGAAAGACTTGTGTTTTTCAAACTTGGCAATTTTAAAATATATGGACTTCAACTCTCAGAATTCCCCAGTCAGCATAAAAGTCCACACATCTTAAAATTCCAAAGTTTGAAAAACACTGAAATAAATGATAGGAATGCAAAACAAGTTAAACAACAATTGGATGATAACCAGGAATTAATCGATCGATCGATCGATCGGTGTGTGTGTACAGGTAGACTTGATGTACAATTGTAATTGAACCTGAAATTACAGTCATAAGTCAAGCCAGTTAAACAAATCATCACACAACTGACCTGATTTTATGACTTATTTTGCAGTGGTCATTAAGCGAACATGGTGGTCGCAAACGAAACCTACTGACTGCAATGGGTGCTTTTTGCTGTAAACCAGAAGTAAATGCCAGTTTCTAGCAACAAAGCAAAAAGTATTGTGAATTACAGTGACAAGACCATGGCTTGCTACAAATAGCCATCATTGCGAACTAGTTGCCAAGCATCCAAAATGCAATCATGTGACTGTGGGGGAGGATGGCCTAGCCGGGCCCTCAGAACTTCCAATCCACATTGTAAGTACCTTTGGGGGGCATCCGTCATAATTTCAAATGGTTGCTAAGCAGCCAGTCATTAAACAAAGATTGCTTGCATCCTTACAAATGAATTTTATCAATACGTTTTATTTAGAATGCCTTCATTCCCTCCTTGCCTTTCATCACCGTGCCGGGGTTAGGGTTAGCCCACACCATTCTTTTTTATTTTGGAGCTGGAGTACAGGAGAGAGAGAAAGCTCTCTGGAGCAGAGTCTCCCTCCCACCTCCCGTTGGGAGGGCTAATGAGTTAATTCCTTTTTCTGGAACAACTACCCCCGTGTCAGGGGCTCAGGGCCAATGCACAGACGCCCTGATTTCTTCCGCAGAATATCTGAAAAAGTTGGTCATTTATACCTGCACTTTGAATTGCCATTTTACTTGCTGCAACCGCTGAGGAATCCCCATTGATGATATCCAGAAAAAAATCAGCAGGGTTGTTATATGGTTCGCACACAAAACCTGTAAAGAATATTTTTTTTAAAAAATTGTTACCACAGCAGTCTTAATGAAAACTCATAAAGCAATTACAACTTAGTTACATTCCAAAAAGAGTACTGACAAATCATTTTTTTTTAAATTACACAATACAAACCATAATTTTCTAACTGGTGTAATTGTTTTCAGAGGTATCAGAGTTTTAGTATATTTAGATCCTAATACTGCCCACCCAACCAAAGGAGCTATATAGGTAGTCCCCAAGTTGATTGCAATTGAGCACAAAATTTCTGTTGCTAAGTGAAACATTTGTTAACTGAATTTTGCCTCATTTTACAACCTTTCCCGCTGCAGTTGTTAAGCAAATTGTTGTTGGTAAGATGATTGTTAAGTGAACCTGGTTTCCCCATTAACTTTGTTTGTCAGAAGGTTGCACAATGTAATCACATGACCTTGGGACACTGCAACTTTTATAAATATGAGTGAGTTGCCAACTGCCCGAATTTTGACTAGGGGGATACAACAAGGGTCGTAAGTGTGGAAAATGGTAATAAGTCACTTTTTTCCAGTGTTGTTGCAACTTTGAATGGTCACTAAGTTGAGAACTAGCTGTATATCTATATTCTTAAATTGCCCAAATAGGAAAATTATCTCCAATTATTTGCTTCTTGATATATAAGCATGTGAAAGAGGGGTGGTCTAGAAATACAAAATATAAATAAATACAATCCAATAAATAATAAAATACATAAATGATGATGTAACTCCAGATTCGGAAAAGCAAATACTCCCTCCCTCATTAATTGGCAATTAATTGTTTATTTATTTTCCAGATATGTAAATAGGAAAACATCTCAGAATAGAAATATAAATCTAGGGATAATTTTCATTTTCAGAGCACTGACTGACCTTTCTCCAGACAGTGAGGTTTAATATATCTGGAATATATTAAACCCAGGCCAAAAGGCTGCACCAGAGGCCAATTGTTTGCCAAGTCCTAACAGTTTTTTTCTATTCTATATGAACTGTTTAACATTGAGTTGCTCTGGGCTTTCTCAAGTCCTTTTTCAGGTAGTAATATGTTGCTGTTTGTGAAACTATGCTTAATACCACAAGGAGGCAGAGGAGTTAAGGATTTATTTTGAATTTCCTCTGCAGGGATTGCTAACCCCAATCGAAAAGCAATTTTTCATTCAATAATTCAACCATGCAACAAAGTAATTTATGACCACTAATAACCAAAATTGACCATAATTGTTCAACTTCAACAAATCTTACTATCCAAAATTAGTATGTCCTAAAAATAGGCATACTCTTGTTATCTAATGAATTAATAAAAAGGCATGTACATTTCATTAATATTTAGATAAGATATTTAGATATGATTTAGATATTTGAGCATAACTGGTTTCCATTTTAATGCATGATCTATGTCTAGAGCAGTGTACTTGGGTTTTGTTTTGTTTTTGCATTTAAACATTCATTCATTCATTCAGAAAAGGGATCTGCATGTTTTATCAGACTCTCAAGGGGGCCATAGCATAAACAAGCTAGGAATCCCGGCTCTAAGAGATTTTTAATCTCGGATTATTTCCTTCTGCTTTCATTCCCAGACACAAATATATGAACCATTTTTTTTATTTTATGTTTTCTTACAACTTATTTCATCCAATTTAGAAGCTATCCCTATGTCTATCACAACTCTAGCCCGTTTAAAAGTAGAAGGATTAACATTAAAACAGCAATTGAAAAAGTTAAATATATATACAATAGTGACATTTGCAAATTTCCATTCTGGGGAGAAGGCTGTTATGAAAACAATCAGAACATCAAGGAGCTACATTAAGCCAACCTTCCCCATCTTACCTACCTACATACCTACCACACACACTCACACATACCCACAAACACAACCACCCCATCCAAGCCTGCTGAAGAAACAAGAATACGAGAATAAAAATGCAATGATAGGTACGTTAGTGCCTATCGTTAGTTAATGCAAAGCTCAATTTTCTTAGATTTCCCTCCAGATTGAACATAGATATTTTATTGATTTATTTATTGGAATTTGTCAAACAAGAATGAGAACAAGAATAAGAGAATAAAAATACAATGATAGGGACGATAGGCAGGTTAGTGCACTTATGCACGCCCCCTCTACTGACCACTTAAGTATGACAGATAACTTGATGCCAGGCTTTGCTTACCTCTGCAATGTATTTCCTTAAATAAATCTTTTTTTCCCTAATCATGGCTCAAGATATATCTCTTGCTATCCAAAATATTCACAGGCACATCCATAATTTGTACCTGTAACAGGTCCCAAGTGATGGGAATCCATTGCCTTGTGTTCAGATCCACTTTCTCTGCTTTTAGGAAAGATCAAATTCTTCCTTTTCAGCCAGGCCTTTTTCACTTGGAGTTTGTACTCCACTGATTTTAACTTTTTTTTTTTTTAAATTACAATGATACCTTTTCCATGTTTTACTGGAAGGTTAACTCCCCAAATCGAAAGGCAGAGGGCTAATGAAATTGGATAAGAATGGGCGCACCCCATAAAAACTTACCAAGACTTTTGAAATAGGGAAGCGCATTGTCAGCTGGCCCGTGATACAATAGCCTTCCAGCAGCAAGTAATGTCAGGCTGTCAAACAACTTGAAAATAGAGTACCGGGGCTGATGGATTGAAAAAATGATCGTCTTTCCTTGCAGTGACATCCTGGGTGTAACATAGGGAAGACCATTACCTGGTGTAAGAACTCTTTGCTTTTAATTGCTCTGCATCAAAGTACAATACATACAGCTTGAAATGAGAAAATGGATCAATCTTGAATGAAGCTACCACAGTCAAACATTCCTGACGGTCCTATAGCCATACCCCTGCTCAGTTAAAACCAACTGTTTTAGCCCAGTTTTAGCCCAGTTCTGTCTTAGCAATAGCCAATCAGTCAATCAGAATAGAGCTGGAAGGGACTTTGGAGGTCTTCTAGTCCAACCCTCTACTCAAGCAGGAGATCCTATACCATTTCAGACAAGTGTCTGTCCAGTCTCTTCTTAAAAACCTCCAGTGATGAAGCACCCACCACTTCTAGAGGCTAGCTGTTCCACTGGTTATTTGTTCTGTTAGGAAGTGTCTCTTTAATTCCAGCTTGCTTCTCTCCTTGATTAGTTTTCATCCCTTGTTTCTTATCCTACCTAAAGGTGCTTTAGTAAATAAGATGACCCCCCACTCTTCTTTGTGGCAACCTCTCAAATGCTGGGATACTGGTATCATGTCCCCCCTAGTCCTTCTTTTCTCTGGACTAAGCCAAATCCAAATCCTGCATTAAGTGTATTATGCATTATGTATATTAGTGCACTATGACACTACACACATTTATTTTAGCAAAACGTACAAAAACATATTGGACATTTATTTTTATTTTGGAAGAGAAAAATCTAAAATGAAACATGTTCCTTCATTAAACTGCTAAATTTACAACATGTACTGATCATGGCAAATTGAGTTTTCAAAGCATAGCCATAGCACTTAGATCTATATACTGCCCCATATGGCTTTACAACACACTCTGAGCAGTTTACAAATATCAGCATACTGTCCCCAATAATCTGGATCCTCATTTTACCGACCTCAGAAAGATGGAAGGACAAGTCAACCTTGACCCCTTAAGGATCAAACTCTAGGCTGTGGGCAGAGTTTGCCTGCAATTCTACATTCTAACCACTGTGTCTCCAGGGTTGTAAAAGACATATGAAAAAAATTAATGACACATAATGAAGACGATTCTCTTGGCCACCAGGAATGACCCAAGTACAGATGGTTTTCAACCTAACAAGCACAGTTGAGCCTGACATTTCCGTTGGTAAGCCAAGCAATTGTTTAAATGAGTTGCACCCTACTTTACAAACTTTTTTTTGCCACGATGATTAAGCAAATGTCTGCGGTGGTCGTAAGGGCAAGGACTGACTGTAAGTCACTTTTCCCAGGGCTGTTGTAACTTCAAAAGGTCACTACACAAATGGCCGTAAGTCGAGCACTACCTGTGGCAGAGATTACCTTTTTAAGAGCAGCAGGACAGCATTGGCTGTGCTAGCATCCAATCCTGTTGTTGGTTCATCTAAGAATAACACTTTGGGATTAGTAATGAGTTCTAATCCAATGCTGGTCCTTTTCCTTTCCCCCCCTGAAACTCCACGAGAAAAATAGGTGCCAACCTGGTGCAGCAAAGGAAATGGCAAAATAAACATCTTGGAAATGTAACGTTTCATGAACAGTATGTAAAAAAAAAAAAATCATTTCAGCATAAAATACTTTAATAATGACCACTCCTGGTAACAACCGAGTTTATCAAATGGGACATCACTGAAAAAATATGGGAAACTGGAAAGGCAGCAATACATTAAGGCAGACCTGAGTATTTTATGCCCACCCCGGCTAATCCAGCTTTTTGACCGTCCTTGTCAGGCTCACATGAGATCAATCAGAAATTAGAAATCAAATGTAAATAAGTGCCCTCCATGAGTGCAATACAATTTCATTGCTTTTATTTTGAAGGTGACTGCTTTCCCCCCCACAATTTATGTATGTGTGTGGATGGGTGGGTAGGTGTGCGTGCCTATGCATCTTCAAAACCCAATTGGTTTGGTCCTCCATAACAGCCCCGGTTTCTCACATGGGAAGATTAATTGGCCACCCCTGCATTAAGGGGTCTCAGATGGTCCTCATGCACTGGTGAAAGAATGCACATTTAACAGAACAGAACAACAGAGTTAAAAGGGACCTTGGAGGTCTTCTAGCCCAACCCCCTGCTTAGGCAGGAAACCCTATACCATTTCAGACAAATGGATGTCAATTTATATGGAGTTCACTTGATCCTTTGTTGCCAGAAAGATTTATGAGAACCCTGCAAGCTAAGACCCAGTGGTGGGATTCAGCCAGTTCGCACCGGTTCACCAGAACCGGTTGTTAACTTTCTGACCAATTTGGTGAACTGGTTGTTGGAAGAAATCATTAGGGCAGAGAACTGGTTGTTGAATTATTTGAATCCCACCACTGATAAGACCTCACACAATGATACCAGTAGCAATAGCACTTAGACTTGCATACCACTTCACAGTGCTTTACAGCCCTCTCTAAGCAGTTTGCAGAGTCAGCGTATTGCCCCCAACAATCTGGGTCCTCCTTTTACCAGCCTCGGAAGGATGGAACGCTGAGTCAACCTTGAGCCAGTGAGGATTGAACCCCTGGCCATCAGCAGAATTAACCTGCAATACTGCATTCTAACCCCTGCACCACCATGGTTCTTTTAAGATAGGCAGCCTCTTTGGACCATTGGGTGTGTTTGGACCACTGCAGTTTTGAGAACATGCATGTCCTTGAGGCACTCACAAAATGGCCGCCTTGAGCAAATCTTCCCTCACAGATTAGGATCTACGATGAGAGTGTCCAGTCTCAAAGTACGCCTTTACAAAAAAGGGAGACTTGCAAAGTTGCTTCTCTCTCTTCCCCCGATGTTCATCTACACATGTGGTTACTTCCCTGCCTTTCTTCTCTTTCTTCTCTCCAGCCCAGATCAGCAGCCTGGTCTCTGTGCAACCCCATTTCTGTTGCTCTGGCCCCTCCTTGCTCCTTCTCTTTTATACCCTTTTCCCTCAGATCACCAGAGATCTCTCCAACAAAGGGTTCATCTGCATCCCACCCCATAATGTCGTGCCCTCCTGCATTCTCACTTAACCTTATTTTCTTGGTTTTTAACTAGTTACGTCCAGTTTTGCCACCAAACACAGTCAGCCTGTGCTGTTTTCACATGGATCCAAGAAGGGAAGCAATGCAGATGAGATGATCCACAATTCCTCATTTTTGCAGGCCCTTCAGCTGCTACATTATGTTAAACTTAGAGTAATACAGCAGCTGCAGACTGGATGCTTTCTACAAATTCAGCACAGCCCCAGCTGCAATTCCTATAACATTCAGGGATCACTGTTCATGCAAAGTAGAGTAATACTAATGGACAAAAAATTATCTCATGTTCTGATTAGGTCGAAGCTGGGCAAACATCAAGCTGCAAATTACATGCAACCCCATACATATTTTTCTGGATTCCAGAAACAAAATCACCCTTTGTAGATGGTGGCTTTGTACCATTCTTGAAAGGCATAAATATTTACAACACTAAATGCTGGTACCTCATTTGGGATTAAAAACTATGCTAATGTATGTACCTTAGTATCTGCAACTTTAACCAAATCCAGTTCCTTGAGAACCTGTTCAACCCTCTGATTCTTTTCATATTTGCTCATAGATAAAGGTAGTCGAAGGGCTGCTGAAAACATTAAATTTTCTCTGACTGTCAAGGTCCCCATCACTATGTCATCCTTGGAGATTAAAAAACAACAACTGGACATTTTCATTTGGACAATAGACTTGCTTAGATTGCTATTGTACAATCATTATTAGACACTTAAGAGGGTACTTAAGGGGGACGTGGTGGCTCAGTGGTTAAGACGCTGAGCTTGTCGATCAGAAAGGTCGGCAGTTTGATGGTTCGAATCCCTAGCACCACGTAATGGAGTGAACTCCCGCTACTTGTCCCAGCTTCTGCCAACCTAGCAGTTCGAAAGCGTGTAAAAATGCAAATCGAAAAATAGGGACCACCTTTGGTGGGAAGGGAACAGCACTGCATGCGCCTTCGGCGTTTAGTCATGCCGGCCATATGACCACGGAGACGTCTTCAGACAGCGCTGGCTCTTCGGCTTTGTAACGGAGATGAGCACCGTCCCCCTAGAGCCGGAAACGACTAGCACGTATGTGCGAGGGGAACCTTTACCTTTACCTTTAAGAGGGTATTGAGCATTCACAGAACTGTACATAGGGTCTGCATTCCTTTAAAAACTTCTCAAAGCAGAGATAGATTTTATACTATGACATGCCCCCATATGCATAGGATTTTCCAAGACTTCCATCCCCCACCCCTGGTGTACAGGTAGCCCTCGACTTACAACTGCAATTGAGCCCTTGCTAAGCAAGACAGCTGTTAAATTAATTTTGCCCCACTTGCTTGCCACAGTTGTTAAATGAATCACTGCAGTTCTGCACTTAGTAACACTGTTGTTAAATGAATCTGGTTGCCCTACTAACCTTGCTTGTCAGAAGGTGGCAAAAGATACCCAAGTGACCCTGGAACACGGCAACTGTCATAAATATGAGCCAGTTACCAAGTGTGTGAATTGTATCATGTGGCCATGGGGATGCTGCAACGGTCGTAAGAGTGAAAAAAATGGTCATGTCATTTTTTTTCATTGCCTTTGTAACTTGGGACAGTCAGTAAATGAACTGTTGTAAGTTGAGGACTGTTGTAAGTCGAGGACTACTTCATTTCTAATTTACAACTCCCTGAACATTCTTTTAGATTTATGGTAATTTCCTCTCCCTGTTTAAATGTTCAGCATCTGTATTTTTTTTTTAAAACAATATTCTATGTTAGATTCTGCAATATAAGCTTAGAGGATATTGGAATGTATTCCTGAAGCAAATTATTCTATTTGGCCAATTTATAATAAATAAATGGCAGTGATTGAGAAATGAAAAGGGGTTCTATATTGCAGGCTGCTGGGAAATAAAATGTGTGGATTATGCACAGCAACAAAAGGCTTACCTGTACTACATATCCAGACATACATTTAAAATGTGTTGGCAGGCCCATGCCATCTAACAAAATATCCCCAGAAAGCCCCTGGGGATCTTTCCTCGTAGATAAAATGTCCAATAGCCTAAAAGAAAAATAAAACCCATTTCAATTCAAATGATTGAGACCTACATTTCAGGAACATATCAATTACGGCTTTGCAATCCTTCAAAATCATAACTTATCTGTGCATGCACACACAACAGAAACAGGAGCTTTAGAAACAGCTACATAAACATAAGCCAGAGAAATATGGAGTTGTATTAACTGTTCAAGAATCCAATTGTTAAAAAGTCCTGTAAATTTCCAGCTTGCATTGAAACTTTAAAACCCATGAAGAACTGTTTCAGGAATTGGGTATGTCTAGTTTGATGAAAAAAAGTACTAGGGGTGACAGCATAGCAGTATTCAATGTTTGAGGGGCTGCCACAAAGAAGAGAGGCTCAAATTATTCTCCAAAGTACCTGAAGGCAGGACAAGAAGCAACAGATGGAAACTAATCAAGGAGAAAAGCAACCCAGAATTAAGGAGAATTTTTGTGACATTTAGGACAATTAATCAGTGGAACAACTTCCCTCCAGAAGCTGTGAATGCTCCAACACTGACAGTTTTTAAGAAGAGATTGTTGCTCTTGGATTTTAGGTGCTCACTAAGAAAGGATTTTTTGAAATGATCATCAGAGCATTAGTATTCCATATATTATTATTATTATTATTATTATTATTATTATTATTATTATTATTA